AACTGGAGAAAGGCCCCTTGCTGTGCAACCTCAGTACTTTCAGAAGGTCACCCATGCTACCTTCTCATGCAGTGGGTGAGGTGTGGAAGTGAGGGGAGACAGCATGACTAGTTTATCCTGGTGCCAACCCTTTAAGACAGCCAGGTTTTGGACAGGGCGAGTCTCAAAACCTACATGCATCAGCCCATGGGTACAGTGATGTGGGGATGCAGCCTCTATGGTGATGAGGTGCTTAGTGATCCCAAGATGCCTTTTGGAGAATTCCACAGACATCTGGTCCCAAGTGGCAACTTCAATTCCCTTCCAACCTAACAACCTGCACAATGAAACCACCCATTGCTAAGAGACAGGACCTGGCTCTCTCTTCGAAGTGCTACAACTCTTTATGCCCCTTCTGCAGTACAAAAGGATTTTTAATGCAGTAAATGTAAGTTATTTCCACTAAAAAAGCCACCCTGCAGTGTCATGACTCTACGCAGTATATATATGGCACTTGTATCTTCTGTGGTCCAGGAAAATGCACTTGCTGCCAGCATGTCACCTGCTCTGGATGTGTGACCTTGCTCATGCACTTCTGTGGAGCTTTCCCATTTCTATAACTGAGCCTTGCAGCCGAGACTGTCTCTGCCCATCACCCAAACTGTTACTGTCTCTTCCTAGATGCAACTCTCAACTTCTCTGGTTTCTCAATGGGAAAAAATAAAACCCATAAACCAATTCACTAGCCAGCAGCCAAACAACCTCCCCCCAAGTCCTGTTGCTTCAGTGCAGTATGAAATAGAGAAACAAATGTTGAGCTATTTGTTTCGTTTCTGCAGTGATAAAATCCTCCCTGCTCTGCAGTGGGCTGAAGGCTCAATTTCTGGCTCTTGTAAAGTTTGATTTAGAAACTGGAAAGTCTGTGTAAACAAAGTTGGAGCACTATTGTTTCTAAAGACAGCTCTGGGCTTTTCTCTATGGTAACCTCCAGAAGGCAATTAGGGAGCCATAGCAACAGCTACACCTCCTAGTATACTGTCTACTCTCCCTCAGTCACTGTGCGAGCGCCAAAACATAGAAGCAAGCATCCTGGGGATGCTGGGCTGCTTTACATTATGTTAGAGACAATTGATGTTTGCCAGCATCACCTGGGCCCTTGTTTTTTGACAATGTTTTGTTTAGCTCTGCTCCAGTGAGTGAACAGGAGACACTGGCCAAAAGCTGTGATGATGGGGCCCTGCCTTATGTGAGAAGCCAGGCATGAAGTGTGTCTGTCCAAACTGGGAACCTTGGCTAATGAATTATCCCATGCTGTGCTTGGATCCATGGCCTGCAGCCATCTCTACAGTGGTGGTGATGCTCTAGAGCTGGGGAGAAGCTATGGCTTCAGCATTCAGCCTTCCCCAGATTTGAGTTGTGTGCTTTGGAGCTCTTGGGATTTTGCTCCATGGATGATGTAGGTTACATGAGCTTTGGAGTGATCCAGTTTGAACTCTTGTGTTCTGTTGCTCCACCACAACACTGAAAATGTTGCTCCCCTGGATGAGGATGGACCTCAAGGTGTTTGCTGCTCACTGGTGAAGATGCTGGGGGGTGTTTAGAGAAAGCCACTTCCTGGCAGTGCCATATGAGATCTAACAACCAGGCACCACCAGTCACAATGGAAGCAAACAGAGCAGAGGACAGCATGTCCTGTCCACCTTACCCTACCACCCCCAGACACTGAGGACAGAAGCAGCAATTCCTGCTAAAAGGAGGAATGATTTGGAGTGCATTTCAGCCTATCCACCCACTTAAGCAAGGTATTTAGATGCAACAGGTTCCTGGTTTGGAGCTGACAGGAGTTTACTCGATGAACACATGAAAGCTGTAATTTCCCATAATGAATAGCAACTGCTTCTTAGCTGATCTGTCCTTCCCTGGTTTATGTGAGATCTTGGCAGAAGTGCAGCCACACAGCTGCAGGTGGGAGATAGGAAGCAAACTTTAATATGAAGGAAGAAAGACAGAATCAATCAGAGAAATGCATAAGAGAGAGTCAAAAGTTTTGCAGAAAGGGATCAGGGAAAGTGGGTTGAGGAAACCTTTTCCTCTCTGGGTGAGCATTTCAGCCTGCCTTACCTGTGAGTGGGAGCACAGTGGTTTTCAGTCTCCTCTCCGCAGCAACTTATAACCAATACTGCTAAATACGGCTGTTCCAAGATGAGGAATGGACACATCATTCTAATTTCTCCTCCTCAGGCTGTGGCTGTTAAAAAATAGAGTTGATTCAGTTCAAGGACCTAAGAGGCACCCAGTGATTCAGCATTTCTTCCTAGAAAAGGGCACTGCAAAGGCTTCTCTGCCTGCCTGGTTTTGCCATCTGATTTCTGTTTGTGATATAGCTCACCTACGGCTCTATTTCCCTGAATGAGCCTCTAAATGAACATGAATTGAGTGTTTTATGAGCTCTATCTTGCTGGAAGGAATGGGCCTTTTTATATACCACAAGCCTAACAGGTCACAGGATTGTAATTCCCACCAAATGATCGAGATGGGAGTGAGACAGGTGGGTTCGAAGATAAAGGACAAGCAGCAACACCATAGTCACCACAATCACTAGAGCCTAACTAGGGCTGTGGGACTTGCTCCATGGGAAGGCTGGCTCTGAATGGGCTGTGGAGAGGAAAGAACACTCATGCCTTCTTGGCAGTCCCATTAGTGATGTCAGGAGACTAGCAGAGCAAGGCAAGGGTTTGAACTGTCATCATGCACCTTGCAATCACTCTGCAAGGGGTGTATCATTACAGACTGTCCATCAGGGAATAAAACTTACCCTGCAAGAAAAGGAGAGTGAAGAAATGTCTCAATGCAGTGCTAACATATAAATGCACGCACCCTGAGTCCTTACTTTGCTGTTTTCCCATCTGTGACCAATGGTCACACCACAGAGTGATCAGCTTTAGGAGGTGTGATCATATACAGAAACTACCATCAGACACTACAACCTTATTGCCTTGTAACCCAATCTACACGGGCAAATCCAGGAGCCCAGGAATGTTCCCATTTGAACTGAAGGAGCAAACAGGTTAACAAGAGTGACAAGATCCAGTTCTCATCACACGTACATGAGCTGACAGCCTAAGGGACTAAGGGCAGAGCTGGGTGGAGAACAGCAAGAGCCCAGCACATGCTCTGTGGCAGCGAACAGAGGTTTGCTGCAGGCAAACCAGCCTCAACTTGGGGGATTTTTGCTTAATTTGATTTTTTGTCAATTAACACCAACTTCTGATGCCTAATTTGGGTGCTGAGCAAAAAACAGAGTAGAGAACACAATTAAAAACCACTTAAGGAAACAAATTACCTCCCATTTCCCATGGCTCAGCTAAAACCACTTTCCCCCTTCTCCCCCAGCCCCATCTGAGTAGGCAGTGAGGTTGATGCTGCTTTCTACTGGTATTCCTCCACTCAAACATTGGTCATCCATGGCTACAGCCCCTCAGGGGTGTTCCTGTCCCACTATGGATTGCCCCCAGGCACAACCCCTCAGGGGTGTCCCTGCTCTGCTGTGGGTCACCCACAGACCTACATAACTCAAACCCTGTGATTTATACCTGATGCCAAGCCCTGTAAAACCTTGACAGGAGGTTTCAGCATCCCGCAGTGGATCCTGAAATGGAGGTTATGATATTAATACATGTCCTGCTGTCACTTCATTGACTGACAACAGACTGATGGCATTAAGTGCCCTGTCAGCTCTTCATTAAACGCTTGATTGAAGACTGCCAGTGATGCCTTTTCTCCTTTAATTAAGACAGGCATTTCTGAAGGCAGGTTGGAAAACAGCCTGTGGAAGGGGCAGCACTGGGCTCCTGGTGCTGGGCAGGCAGAGCGGAGGAGGATGCCTCACCCCTCTCACCCCTCTTTCCCCTCTGACTGTGACTTTAGAAAGCGTGTTAATTAAAAACTGTTCCAAGGATTCATGTGCTGTGGCTCCTTTCTTAATTAGCAGACCCTATTAGCAGTAAAACTGAGTAACACAAACAAGCTTTTACAGATCTCCCCATTTCCTTCTACATTTGCTGGAGCGATAACGGAAGATGGATGATCCGTGGGTGTTCCAGCTGATTAGGAGCCAAAGTTTTGTTTTCTTTGTCCCTTTCTGAGGGTTATGAATGTCCAGATAAGGGAGGTTTCCTCTGTGCCAACGACCCTGGCAAGTGAAGCCTGTGCATGCAGAGGGGTCGCTACTGAAGCGGTTTGGATGGCAGTTCGCACACGCCAAGCATGTTAACATGGGGAAGAACAGCTCCCAGAGGTGCCCCAAAAGATTAAAACAGCAATAGCAAAGAATAAATACATTCAGTCAGAAAAAAAGGGGGTTGTTAGTGCTGAAATTCATTCTCAAGCTTTTCTGCACTCTTCATTTACAGGGTTAATCCCTCTGGAAATCAGGGCACCTCATTCAGGTGTTTCAACAGGGACTGGGCAGGGAACTGTTGAGTTGTGCCTTGCTTTGCAAGGCTGGGACTGGCTTGTGGAGAGAGCAGTGGGAGCCGACCAAGACCAACGCATCCTCCTCTGCTCACTGCTTCCTGCAAGTGGGTCCCCCCAGAAGCAAACAGCACAGCCCAAAGCACCACTTTCAGGAACCTTCACCTTGGCTGGGAGCTCCCATCTGTATCAGTGCTATTCACACAGAGCCATAGGCCTGCGGCTTGAGATGATGGAGGGTTGCAATTTCTGCATTCTTCAGAGGAAAACAAAGCCCAGTATTATATGCAAGTGTACAGCCTCCAAAAACCCTATTAACAGGCTTCTCTTCATTATTCCTTTGATTTGCATATTGCTGTCTTAATGCAGGCTAAATGTAATTATTTCTCAGTGTTGTTTTGCCTGTATTAGTGGAAACGATTGCCACAGGGCCCTGTTCAAAAACTGCCTATATAAATATTGTTAAAAATAAATGCATAACATTAATTCTCTGTCGTTCATGTCACTGTTTATTTAATGCTCTAAAAAGCTAATTACCACTCACTTTACATCTTTTTCAGGTCTTAAAGTCTCAGTGCTATAAGATAAAGGAATTAATTGTTAATTAACATACCTTTTTTGGAGCACACTTTTTTCTTTATCAAAGATTACAAGAGGAGGAAGAGAAGGGGAAGGGGGAGAAATGAAGCTCTCGGTATTTCTGCCAGCTCTGATGCCAAAATGGGCTTTTGCTTAAATAACACCACAAAACTTTTATCTGGCCCTGGGGAGAAGAAGTACAAGCTATGGTGTGTGAAGCCAATAAAAAGCATCAGTATTATTATTAGTTTTCCTTGCACTGGATGTCTGAACACATTGTACCCAACTGTGTCTGCAGCCTGATGGATTTGTAAAAAGGGAAATGATGTTGCTGGAATTTTAGGCATCCAGCACCAAAAAGCAGAATGCCCTTTGCTGGGGAACAAGGCAGCATGACCTAGGAGAATTAATCCTCAACTATGGCTTTTTTGCATTTGAAGGGGCATTGATGGGGATGCCGAGCATCTCAATGCCCATTCCCAGGCATCCTAATGCCCAGGGAAGCCAGGGAGACCTCCAACCTGGGCAACCAGGCATGAGATGTTTCACATTACCACCTCAAAGGGTGTAAAGCAATCAAACCCAACATGCAGGGTCAGATTGATACTACTCACCTGCTTGTTGCCCCACTTGATCCTGATCCCCCCTCCACACCAGCCATAGCTATGCCTCTGAGTCGGGTGACACAGGTAGGTGCCATGTAGAAGACACTGAAGCAGGAGGGGAGAGGAAAAACTGCAGTTACATCACTGATATGATTCCTGCACCCTTTTTACTCTGGGGTGGGGAGGGTGCCATATATTCTTCCAGAGCTTGGTTAGCACAGACTACACTATCCACTGGGATCACCCCCACATATGGTGCCTTTCATCTATGCTAAGGACAGGTTCCTGTATGGAGAAACCACAGGGCAAAAGAGACTTTTCCATCTTCCTACCCCTTCCTGGGGCCTCCCTAGTCCAGATCAAGATGGATTTCAAGGAAGGAGTAAACAAGGGGTGTTGGGCTCCTGTGGGAAGGCAGCGGTCCTATTCCTGCCCTCATTTCAGGATTCCACCCACCCGCCTCCATCTCTTTGCTCCAGTGCAATTGCCTGTCTCACCCATATGTGTTTCAGGCAGAGATGTTCACAGTAAACTTGACCCTGACAGCAGCAGCTTTGCAGGTCACAGGAAAGGGCATTTCAGCAACTTTGTCTTGCAAGCCTGTCAAACATCACCATGCTGATATCCTAAACCTACTCCTCTCCCCACTTAAGCCTCATATCAGCCAAGAGGAGCAACACTGAGTCAGGTTTAGCCCTAATGCCATTTTCCTTGCCCTTGTGTCCAAGTTCTCAGCTATTCCCTGCCACAATTTCTCTGTTACCTCCCCAGGGCAATGGGTCACCATGCCATTAATCTCTGCTGCAAAAGCCTCACCGTTGGGTGTCGCGATGGGAGCGTGCTGTTCATGCCACAGCAGACTTTGCAGCTTTGTGATGTATTTATAGTTGTGTTGCTTTTCTCTCCAGCTAATTGGAAATGTCAGGGAACTTTTAATTTGTAACAATGAAGTGAAACTCTTCCGCCTCCGTATTTACATAAATTAGGGCGAGTTTGCACACATCCATTTCCTGGAAGAAAAGACAAAAAAGAAACAAATTCAGGATGAGTTTCCTACTTGAAATATTCATGAAGCCAGGCATAAAAATACAGTAACTGCCTAGACAGGCTTGTCCAAAAGGAAAATTAAGAACAGAGCCATGAGGACAATTTAAAAGCACATCCTAGCAGGCTCTCCTTGCCCTTCCACTCAGCTGGTGGTGGGCTCTGACTGCCCTTGGGTTTTGTCACAGGCAGGAGGGGACAGTCCTTGCACTGCATCCAGGGCTGCCCAGTTACTAAACAGCACATCGGGACAACCAGTGCATTCTATTACCTCTCAGCAGGAAGGGAGAGGCTGAAACATTAAGTGCTTATGGGCAGTCCTAGTTTCATCCAAGCATCTGTCCACATCCCTGACCTATTGCCTATTCCCAGTAAATATGTAAATCTCAAATAGCTTAGCATTTTGGGGCTATTTTTATTGTACCTGCAGTCAGAGCACAGTGAGGGGCAGTGATTCAGCTGCTAGTGTAATTCATACACTGTATTCTCCAGCATTATCCTGTGGATCTACTATTAACCTGCATTATTCCATTAATTCAATATTTATCTCTGGGGCTGTTAATGGAGTATTTGATTTAGCAGTACATGAATATTGCATCCTGCAGCAGTAAGAAAAAAGGTGAATTTAAAACCAGACCAGGGTAACTGCTAATCAAATATATTCATGGAAAGCTTAAACACAAATCCTGCTCAGCTTACCCCAACCGTGGGGCTGACATTTCAATCCACTTAGCACAGATGGAGCACTTTGTCACTTGTTCAGAGGGACACCGAGGATGCTGGAACCCTGAGAAGTTCACATCTGTTAGACATCCCATAGAGTTTGCTGTGGCTACACAAAAATCCACTTCCAAGGGTAAAAATATGTCTTGGAGGAGCAATAACAGCTTGATTTAGTCTTCATGCTTTGTCATTTTCAGTTGTAATGGCACTGGGACACAACCTGTTGAAAAGGTCCAAGCCGCACATGAACAACCCATATGGAGGAGCTGGGCTTGGAGAACTGAATTCATATGAACATATGTTCATATGTTCTTATGTCTTCAGCATTGCTCAGAAATTCTTGCTTGCAGACCTTGTAAGTTCCCAGATAGACTGAAATCAAGTAGTGATGGCAAGGTAGGCTTTGAGAGAAGCCTGATCTCTTGCATAGCTCTATTTTGGGCCAAATGATGGACATCTGACAGTTGCTTGAGTAGCATCTCCCAGATTAGACCTCTTAGCCTTCCAGTATCTGAAGGTGGGCTATAGGGATGCTGGGGAGGGACTCTTCATTAGCGACTGTAGTGGCAGGACAAAGGATAATGGGTTAAAACTTAAACAGGGGAAGTTTAGATTGGATATAAGGAAGAAGTTCTTTACTGTGAGGGTGGTGAGGCACTGGAATGGGTTGCCCAGGGAGGTTGTGAATGCTCCATCCCTGGCGGTGTTCAAGGCCAGGCTGAACAAAGCCTTAGGTGGCAGGGGGGTTGGAACTGGATGATCTGAAGGTCCTTTTCAACCCTAACTATTCTATGATTCTATGATTAATTGCCACATTTTCATTTGAAACTGCTTGTTTCAAACCACTGCTTGTTTTAGCGGTTGATCATTTACAATCCTCATGTGTTTTCTTGCCCATCTCTCTTGCTATAGCTTCCAAATACTGGTTTTTGTTGTTCCTTCCTAGGGAGCACTTTGAAAGAGTCAAACACCAACTCAACTCCAGGTTTCTATACTTGAAAATCTGAATAGATCTCAGCATTTCTCTGAAATGTTTGCAGGAAAAAAACAGCTGGGAAAAAACCCAAAACCAATCGTAAAGTGAAAGCTGCCTGCCAGTGCTGCCATCATGAAGCCCTCTGTTCCATGGCTTGGATCAAAACCTGCCCAGCAGCTCTGTGCTATCTGGACCACTGCACACTTCCTGGGCCTATTCCACCTGGAAAACCTTCTTCTTCCTGAAATCTCCCCTCCTGCACTAAAGACAAGTACTTTGTACTGCCTGTCCTGCACTTCTGACTCCATTCCTAATGCACAGCTCATGGGAGGGTTTGAACATCTCTCTTTCCTTTCATTTGAAATACCCTTGCAGATTCCTAATCAGGCTTTAAACATACAAAGAAGGTGCTGTCTGCAGACAATCCCTTTTGAGTTTTATCTTGCTTCCACTGCATGCTGGGAGAGGGGATGTGAAGCCTTTACCAGGGCTTTGTGGTTACCCAGGCAGTGCAGATCGATAAAGCTTGTGGCTACACACCTCATTATCCTGTCTCTAACTCAAGAAGCTTCTATTTACCCAGGTCATCAGAGAATACCTTTAAGTAGGTCAATTCGGGAGAGGAGGGGTCACCTACCCACTCTCCCTGTTTAGTATTCACAATTGGCACTGAATCTCCCATCTATCATGGGGTGGTGAGTATTAATTACACGGGTGATGAGAAGCCAGGGAGGGTGAAGGCAGCATCAATCTTGCCCTTCTGGTACTTGCCAGAATATTCATGCAGAGTTTTGCTTTGTTTTGCTCAAGCATGTAATGACAAGAAGGGGTTTTTTTTGTGGAAGCTCAGACTTCTCATACCATGAGAGCCTCCTGCTCCAACGTGATGTTTCCAGAAGTGCACTGCTGCAGCCTGGGGAAAGAAAAGGCCTGTCTTGCTCTTGCAGAATACAGAGAGCATTTGCAAGTTGTCAGTGTTTCACCCAGTCTCTTTTCAGCACTGGAAGACGTTAGCAAGCAAAGCTTTGACGAGAAGTGTAACAGACCAATGTTGAAAAGAGATAGCTGCTATCTTGTAAGTGCAGGCAGTGATGAAAGGAAAGCAGGGTCAAGGATCAGAGAGTCTGTATAGGGCAGATGGATCAGACATGTAGCATATCAAATTGATGAGCGAGCTCTCACCTGGGCATTTACGCTATCAAGGGCCTCGCTGGAAGAGCAGTACAAAGGGAGGGTTTTCAGATGCTCTTGCTGCAGTGTGGTCAACCATGTCAGCACGCTGTAATTACCACCATGCAGAGAGGCCCAAACTCCTCCTCACCTTCCACCGCAATGTCTGATCCAGGGAGAGCTTTGGACAAAGTGCTGAATAAGAGCTTTCTTCCTGATGCTGAGTGATTAAAACTGAGCCTGGGCCTTACTACTGTACCTAGTCTGAGCTAAGGCCTTAGTAAATGTCTGCAAGGGCCTGCTAATGCATATGAAAGTGCTGCTGAGCTCATCCAGTGCCTTCCATGACCATAGAATCATAGAACCACAGAATCAGCCAGGTTGGAAAAGCCCTTTAAGCTCACCCAGTCCAACCATTCCCAGCAGTGCCAAGGCCACCACTAACCCATGGCACTGAGGCCTCGTCTCCACGGTGTGTGAACACTTGCAGGGACGGTGACTGCAGCCCTGCCCTGGGCAGCCTGTTCCAATGCCTGAGCACCCTTTGGGCTCTGGCTCAGAGAAGGCCAAACTGGAAGGTTAGATGTAACTTTGTGGTTTTAATGCATCACAGAATCACACAGAATCACAGAACCCCAAGGGTTGGAAGGGACCTCAAAAGATCATCTAGTCCAACCCCCCTGCAAGAGCAGGGTAACCTAGAGTACATCACACAGGAACTTGTCCAGGCAGGCCTTGAATATCTCCAACGTAGGAGACTCCACAACCCCCCTGGGCAACCTGTTCCAGTGCTCTGTCACTCTCACAGTAAAGAAGTTTTTCCTGATGCTCACATGGAACCTCCTATGCTCCAGTTTACACCCATTGCCCCTTGTCCTATCACTGGACATCACTGAAAAGAACCTAGCTCCATCATCCTGACACTCACCCTTTACGTACTTGTAAACATTGATGAGGTCACCCCTCAGTCTCCTCTTCTGCCATTGTATCCTTGTTTCCAGGAACAAGGATAAAGGCAGTCATTTTCAAATAGTCTTCCCCCAGTGTCTATATAATTCAGGGAATGCAAGAGTTATATCAAATGCCAATTAGATGCTTCCCCTTCTGAATCCAAGCTGTCATATTTTTTCCATTTGTTACACAAGACACCAATACAAGGTAGTATTTGGCAGCTACGTGATGGAATTGTTTTCATTAACACTAGAAGAGGCAGAAACCCACCCCACAGGCTCTGATCTGAAAATCATGATGATACCTTGAGTTCAGACAGAAGTGTTTAACACAGCCTGGTGATCCTCTCACCTGCAATTCCCTCTCCTTTTCTCCACTGCTTGCTTGTATGTCCTGAATCCCTGTTTGAGTGAAGGCTGTCAGTTATCACAGGTAGCTCCATTCCTATGCTGCAAACAGGTTTGCCTCAGGACATGTGAGAAAAGTGATTAATTTAAATCACATGCAGCGACGAAAGAGCATTTGTCTGACAGCAAATGTATCAGGAGCCTTTGGTGGGGCAGCCGCCTTCTGGGGCTGAAGCACGAATTGCTGCCCCATCTACCCAAGGAACTGCTTTCATCTGGGGGTCCTCAGGGTCCCCCTCTTCAGCCAGTTCTCCCTCCCCTCTGAGTGTATCTTCACTTTACATTGTCTGTCAAGGGAATCAGGCAGATTTTACAGAGCTGTTAGTCAGATACCACCATCCTTCCAGATGAAACTGCTTATTTGTGCTTTTTGGTCTGGAGCTCTGCAGTTGTGCTGATGCTGGCAAAGACTGATTGAAACTAAGGCACTTTTATTTTTTTCCCCCAAACCAAAAAATACAGCAAGAACCTCGGGTTTTACTCAGAATGCAATTTCCAGCAAACATTTCCAGCTGGCTCCAATAATTACCTTTAAGGGCTCTGTCTGTTTGATTAGCTGTAGCTAATGGGAAACCTGCACCAGTTCACATTAATGCTCTTCCTCTCTCTTCTTTTGTTTCTTGTTATTACTCACCAGAAAATCACTAACAATGTCAAATTCAGGGGTAAGAGGATTTTGATGATTTTTACTATTGAAGCCATTCTTCTGATCCAAGAGATTGAGTTGTGCTAACTGGGACCTGCACTAAACTCTTCACCCCCTAGCACACAGAAGCTTGGTAATTCTGCATAGCACAGTGTTCCCATGGAAGACAAATCCTGGCCTTTGGCCTCCTCCTGTTCCTGTCCTAAGAAGAAACCTTTGAAACAAATTCATGATTAAGTTGTTACTCAAAGTGTTGCTTACCTTCTAGATGGAATGAGACAAGCGTTGAGAACAACCTGATAGATCACAGAGTACCCTGGGCTTATATCAAAATGCAGCAGTCCAGGTTGGAGGTTCCTGTATCCCTTTAAACCTTCTGAAAAGTTAAAATTTAGGTCAATATCAAAGGAAAACATCATTTCAGCCAAGGCAAAGTATTCACTTTGTCAGTGTAGAAACCAACTTTTACAATTCTTACGTATTTTTTTATCCTTGGGGTTTTTTTTTGTTCTCCCTCTCTCCCTTTTGCCCAAAAGCATTTGTTAAAGTTGGGTCAGATTCATAAATAATTATCCTTAACCTGGCCAGAAAATGAAAAGAGTAGAGCTGAAACTCACACTCATTTCCCCATCTCCAGCCTGCCAACCTGGTCAGAATAAGGATTTTCAGATGCACACACTTCTGCACTTTGAAACAAAAGGATATAGATAAAAGATGACTTTATATGGGGTTTCTGCCCAGTTGTCCCTCTGCAGAGGTTTCTTGCTCCAGACACAGCCTAAAATGAAAGGTTTGCATCATGGCAATCAAATCCTACTCACCTATTTCTTAATCCACCTGCTTTAAGAAAGCAGTAGGTGATGATTTCCCTGCTTCTATATCCCTCACTGCAGTGACAAATGCAACAGAGCATTGCCCACTTTCTATTAGAGATTAATCCTGATGTATGAATGTGCCCGTGTTTGTCGTTAGCACAGTAATGCATAGGCCCTGCTCTTCATGGCTAATTTTTCATCCCTATTATTATTCACTTGTCAGTGACAGTGACTGTTTTCCACCTCATAAAGTGACAAGACTCACATGTCAACACTGCTTAAAGCATTAAAGGTGTTTCACATTAAAAAGCACCACAAACCCCAAATGCACTGTAAACAAGGGAAAAGAGAGCAGGGTTTGAGTGCGGCAGTCATGTACAAAGTCTTTCCTACAGTAGTCTGGTCCCTAAAGCAACCCATAGGGACTCATGAAGACAAGACAGATACACCTGCCAGGCTCAGGTATGAGGAACATCCTTCTCCGTTAAGCATCAGCATTTCAGAACAGCACAGTTGTCATTTTTGCATCAAAATGAATGGCATGATTTTCAAGGGGCTCAATAAAGATATAATAGCTAAAATACAGAGACAGCTGACAAAACTTCACAGCAGCAAACTGTGTCCAGGTCTGCAATCCCATCAGGATAGAAAATTATGCAGAATTCTGTTGGTATCATCAGTATTTTACCTTACAAAAAAGAAATCCAAAAATACTGACATATCACTTTTAAAGCTGCTTTTATTTTAATACAACCTTTTCGTTCTCCAGTTTGAAGTTACTTTTCACTTTACGGTGAGAGTTTTAATCTTAAAATTGACTTTAAAATGAAGTACATTTCCTCACAAATCTTTGTTTCCAGGATCAAAAGTCCTGACTCAGGTAGAAGTTCACCAGAAAACAAGTTGCTTCATTCAATCTGGGCTAAAGTTTTAACTTAGGTGTGGCATTGTGAACAGAGAATTAGGCTTTAAGGGAAAGGACCCCTTAGCATCACAGTTTGGGCCCTATATCCCTGTTTCCCTAGAGGAAGAGCAAATTGTTAGTGGTCTCTGTAAGAGGCTTGAAGATCTTTTCTAGAACCCAGCTTTCAGCTTTTCCATCACTCTGCTTCCCACAGAATATTGCACCCATTGCTCCCACCATCATCATAGTCCCCACTTCATTCCCAGCTGCAAACCAGTCTCAGGGGCACCGTGCACATGGTGTAGATTAGAAACTACCAGCGCAAACACTGCTTACTGTCCCTGAATCTGCTGTCACTGCACCTCTATCAGCAGCAGAGGCATCTCCCTTTCCTGCCATCAGTGTAAGCACCTTTAGTGCCTCCTCTGCAGTGCCAAACAGCTACAACACCATGAATCTCACTTCATTTATTGCTTTCCCAGGGCTGAATTCAAAATTACCATATCTTATTAAAAGAGAAGCTTTAAAGAGTAGTCCTCTCTCACTCATCATCCTGTCTTGTGGGATTCAGCCTCCAGGCTGTGCAGGAAGGTAGATTGTACCCATATTGTGGAAAATGCAGTAACATGCCTTCTGCATGACCCAGGGGGCTACGCAATGATATTACACAGCACAGTAATATTTCATTCAATCAGGTATAGGTACAAGAGAGGATCATGTATTAAAATGAAGGGGAAAAAACTATTAGTTAGAAATTGGTTTCAAAAACAGAGCCCCAACTCAATTGTATTCCTTCTCTCTTGGCCAAACCCTAAAATGCTGAGAGTCAACTCCTTGACTGATGTAAATTGTAAAAGCTAATGTGACCACGACGCTTTGTGAGGAACTTCTGGCTTGTATTACTTGTAAGTCAGAGTAAGCCTTGTGAGAGCCAGGAAATTATTTCAACTTCTAATTGAGATCTCTATCTGGCCCCTAAGGAGTAACCATAGTCTACAGCTAATAGTTTTATTAAGAACTGTTCAGTTCTCCTGCTACTTTAGGGGAGTGAGTGAGTGGCTGCATGGTTCTGAGTTACTGGCTGGGCTTAAACCATGACAAATGAAAAGTTGGATCTTCTCTCCACAGCATTTGCCCCCATTTTCCAATCCAGATCCAGACTGCTGGAGGTATGGAGAGCCTCAGAGCTCAGTGGTGGCCTCATTGCCCTGTGGGGAGATTTGCCACGTCAGCAAGCAGAATGGCATCTCAACAGGGCATTGGGTGGCTTATACTTGAGCTGTTGCTTAAACTCATTCATGCCTGCTGAAACATTTTAGATGAACAATGGAGTTTGTTCAGGGAATTCCTGTGATTATCTCGGCCAGAAGCTTTTATTGGACTTACTATCTCTAAGTCTTTATAACATAGTTTGATCACGTTCATCTTGGTCTCCATTCAGTCTTACTCTAAAACTGGCTTTGTCTTCATTGCCATTCTCATTATAAAATTGACTTCCAAAATGGGAATGATCAAAGCATATTGCTAAAATGACTCCCAGGTATTGATTATGCAATGATATGATCTGTAAGGATGTATAATGGATATACACTCACATAGCTATTCTGTGAACTCTGGACTAATCATCACAGGAAAAAATGTAGAAACAGATTTTTCCCTCTTCTGAATCACACCTAAACTCCCTCTCTCCCCCCTTTTATAAAATTACCATGTACGTGGTAGTTTTGCTCATGTAAATGAGCACGTGTACACATTTAGCATGTCCAAAGCCTGAACTGGTAATTAATGCTGTCTAATTGCTTGGAGAGACACACTTGGGAAGGTTATTACCCATTATAGGTCTGCACGAGGAGCCCCTTCCCGCTGCCTCCTCGGCTCTGCTGCACTGTGAACTTTCCTTCCACAGCCACCTTGTAAAATCACACAAACAAACAAACAAGACCAGGAGGGAGAATAAATAAGAAGCAATTTCAGGTCTTAATATAAGCTGCTTCTTCAGTGCTGCAGATCAGAAGTAAGCCCGTTTCATCTAGCCAGTGTATTAACAGCATTACCTGGGGAAGATCACAATCTCTCTTCTGTTTGTCATGAAAAAAAAAGACCAAATCTTCCCTTGTTCGTGCGTTTCTTCAGTTATGTGGAGAGATTCAAGGGAATCGCCAGGAGTACACACTTGCTTTTTATCTCTCTCCCTTTTCCCAGCCTCCACCTGGATTTATCTTGTTCCAAACTTCAGCGATTTAACACAGTGTGCTGGCTCCGGCTGAGCAGACGGAGAAGTGACAGGAGACAAGGTTGAGCTGCCCTTTGCTCCTCCTGATGCACAAGCTATTTCAAGTGTCTAAAGCTCTGGCTATAACAGGACTGGAAAAATATCAAATGATATTAAAGTTAAGAAAACAAGTCACGAGGAGACTGTAACCTTCATCAAGTGGGAAAGCAAAAAGATCCTTCCTTTTGGCTTTCCCGGTTGCCGTGCACTTGCCTGAACCCACGAGGCTGCTTTAATGTTCTATTTTATTTCAGCCGCTCTTGTTTGAAATGTTACAGTTTCAGAATTGAAAGCAATCTTTGTGAATTGATAGTTGAAAGGCGCTGGAAGGAATGTGTGTGCACATGCACACACCAGCCAAGAAAGCCCGGAGTTGTCCCAGC